TAGGACCATTTTTCAACCGTAGTTTTTAGCCCTTCTGCCCTCATATGAAAGCTCAAAGACCCAGGGAGTTGATCCTGGCAACGATTTACACAATCTCACCATTTTGGGGGCCAAACAATCTCCTTTTTCAAAAGATACTGTGGGGGGTACTTTTAATGCTAATGAGCTGGTCAAAAATTCTCACTTGAATTAGTGGTCTGCACCCCTAGCTTGACCTATGCATGGTAGCTGCGAAGGAACGTAAAAGTGTTTTGACCAGTGGACTCGTGAATATTTGTGCGATGTCAGGAATTTATTCACGACTCATTTTGAATATTTGTGAGACGTTACGTTATGAATTTTTTTGTGACGTCATAAATATTTTTTTGCAATGTCATGAATGTTATTCATGACCAGTCATGTGTTTTGTTGCAAATAATTTCCATGACCTGAGAGGTTCAACAATGTGTCCTAGTGTCCTACATGTACATCTTCATACAGTGCAGCTCGACCAGGGTAAGGCCTAATACATGAATGTTTCCTTGCTCTATGTTAATGATTTATAGTAATTAAAAACTCGAATTTGATTGCAATCAGTGTTTCCCTCCTTGAAGTTTCTGACATGATCACCGACTAACCAGCAATTACAACGGATCACGCTTCTTCCTATACTGTATGTTGCTGCCAAGTGCAACTTCCCACCATTTTGTAATATCCTCCAAGCTACTGGAAAAAATTAATGATGTCGCAAAAATATTCACGTCTGGTCATGAATAAATTCACAATGCCATAAATACACCTGTATATATTCACAAGTAGTCATGTATTTATATCCCTCCAGGGTTATCATACCAATGCCATGTCCAAATGTTAGAAGTTTGTCTGTTAGAAGTTAGATGGGTTATTCCTTTAGAAAAGATAAAGTTCAGTAATTTTGTCCTTTCTAAATGTATCCTGCCCTTACGCTTTTCTTTGTGACAGATGGAAACATCAGTGTGCGACTACAACATAATTGACTTAAAAGACATTTCATTTGATGCTGAAATAAGTACGACTGGAAGCAGAAATAAAGTGTACCGGGCAACCTGGCAAAAGTCAAGAAAACAAAAAGTTGCTGCAAAATGCTGCCAGCGCTTCCATGAGGAAGAAGTGTTGATTCTGGCAAGAATGAACCATGACAATATTATCAAGTTCTTGGGAGTTGTGAAGCCCACTTCAGTACTGGAGAATTACTTCATCGTAACAGAATATGCGGAGGGAGGTTCTTTGTACGATGTGATTAGTCAACATCGTGAAGACTGGCCAGAGTTTAGGCAGAGTCGTTGGATGAGATGGGCCCAGGATGGGGCTAAGGCTCTACAGTACATTCATGAAAAGAAGTACCAACATGGGGACGTCAAGTCACCCAACTTTCTGGTTACCAGTGATGAAACATTGAAGATCTGTGACTTTGGCATATCCAGGCAGTGTGACTACACCGTCAGCACAGTCACAAACAGGGGATCCTCACCATGGATGGCGCCAGAAGCCTTTGGCGATGTGATGTATGATTCATCTAGCACAAGAAAACCATGCAAGGTCACAACAAAATCAGATGTTTATTCCTTTGGTGTTGTGATGTGGGAACTGATTTCTGGTGAGGCCCCCTATTCTAATAAAATGCCGATGCAGATTCTCACAGCTGTAGTTATCAACAAAGACCGCTTGGAGATTCCACATGATTCCCCAGAACACCAGCAAATGAGTGATCTTCTAAATAAATGCTGGCAAGCTGACTACACACAAAGACCAAGTATCCAAGAAGTCCTTCAAAGCCTCATTGACATTGACAATGGCTGCAAGAAAATACTGGGTAGGTTCTGAATATGATCGGTAAAATTTGTCTGACGACCAGGAATGATTTCCATAAATTCAGACACTCTGCAAATTTTGAAAGTTTCCTCAAAACTGTATAATTATTATCCTTAAATTTCTATAATTTTTGTTTAATCAATGTTAACCATTTATAAGTGTTGAATGAGTATCCAATATCAGTCATTATTTCCTTCAATAGGGAAGAGAACACCAGATACTGAGGAAAATGATTCCGCACAACCACCATCAAAGAAGGTAACCACAGGTATGGTTCGTGTACTTTATTTCACAAATAAGTCCAAACAAAATAATAGTTGTACTTCCTACAAATACGTTGGATAGGTGGGTGGTATCTTTCTTTCTTTATTCTCTTTTTTCTTTACGTTTTTGGGACAAAGTTTTAGGGTGGGATTTTTTTTTTAGTATTGAAAGTGGTTTTGATGCTTTGCGGCTGTGTAAGAGAAGTTTTTGTTTGAATATGACAAGCAGTAAAAACTAGAATGTAATATGTCTATGGTCAAGTGGCATAAAATGTCTGTAGAGAAGCAGGTTGGGTTTGAATAACTCATACAGAAACTGTTATCTCCAAGTGTCTGCAGTAAAAATGCCTTTAGCTACAAAATCATGCCTTCATTTTCATGAAATGAAAGACAAAGAAACTAACTGATACAGATAAAACTTATACAAAAAATTCTAAGACAAATGCTCCTCCCAAGCCAGCAGCAGCTCCGCTGCCATGACACATGCAAGCTTCAAGCACGACGTATGTGACGTGCTAGTGAGCGCGCTACATAGTCTTGACCCCAGACTGCTTTTTCATTTAGTATCAATGATAGTTTACGTTTGATGAGAGGATGAAATGCACAACGAATAGCAGCAACAGACAATAGAGGGCATCATGTTTAACTCTGAACAGGCACCGCGTAAAATCCACGCGTGTGACATGCATTTGAATGGTGCTTGAAGGTACGCCATGGGGAGAGACGAGGTTGGCCATGGGGAGAGACGAGGTTGGCCATGGGGAGGGACAAGGTAGACCAGGGGGAGAGACGAGGTTGGCCATG